GTGGTCCACAAATTGCCAACTGATCCAGCTTTCCCTCCCGTCAAGCAGAAATTAAGGAAGTTTAAGACTGACATGAGTGTGAAAATCAAAGAAGTCACAAAGCAGCTCGATGCGAAGGTCATTCGGGTCACGCGGTATCCCACGTGGTTAGATAATGTTGTGCCTGTGCCAAAGAAAGACGGTAAGACCAGAGTATATGTCGATTACCGCGACCTCAACAAAGCAAGTCCAAAGGATAACTTCCCGTTGCCAAATATCCACATTTTGATTGATAATTGTGCCAAGCATGAGATTGGGTCTTTTGTGGATTGCTATGCAGGATATCATCAGATCTTAATGGATGAGGAAGATGCAGAAAAGACGGCATTTATCATGCCATGGGGAACATATTGCTATCTGGTCATGCCATTTGGTTTGAAAAACGCTGGGGCAACTTACATGAGGGCAATGACTACCATATTCCATGACATGATACACAGGGAGATCGAGGTTTATGTGGATGATGTAATCATAAAGTCCAGGAAGCAGTCTGACCAGGGACCTGAGGAAATTCTTCGAGAGGCTCCGCAGGTACAATCTTAAGCTCAACCCTGCAAAATGTGCATTTGGTGTTCCATCGGGCAAGTTGTTAGGCTTCATAGTCAGTCGGCGGGGCATCGAGTTGGATCCGTCAAAAATCAAGGCTATCCAGGAATTACCACCACCAAAGAACAAGACTAAGGTGATGAGTCTATTAGGGAGGTTGAACTACATCAGCAGGTTCATTGCTCAACTCACGACCACTAGCGAGCCCATCTTCAAGTTGTTAAAGAAGGATGTTGCGGTCAAATGGACCGATGAGTGCCAGGAAGCATTCGATAAGATCAAAGAGTATTTGTCAAATCCGCCTGTGTTGGTACCGTCGAAACCTGGGTCAACATGACATCACTGGCAGGAAAGAGCAGGCCATCTATTATCTCAGCAAGAAGTTCACACCCTATGAGGTTAAGTATACCCCCCTGGAAAGGACATGTTGCGCCCTGACTTAGGTAGTGCAGAAGTTCAAGCATTATCTGTCATCCTATACTACTTACCTCATTTCTCGCCTGGATCCTTTAAAGTATATTTTCCAGAAGCCTATGCCCACAGGAAGACTCGCAAAGTGGCAGATTTTTCTCACAGAATTTGACATCGTATATGTGACTCGGACGGCAATGAAAGCCCAAGCTTTGGCCGATCACTTGGCCGAGAACCCGGTGGATGAAGAATATAAGCCGTTGAAGACTTGTTTTCCTAATGAAGATATAATGCATATTGAGGAGGTCGAGCAGGATGAGAAGCCCGGTTGGAAACTTTTCTTTGATGGGGCTGCTAACATGAAATGTGTTGGGATAGGAGCTGTGCTCATTTCTGAAATAGGGCACCACTACCCTGTCAGAGCTCAACTTCGTTTCTATTGCACCAACAACATGGCTGAGTACGAAGCATGCATTCTGGGTTTAAGGTTAGCTGTGGACATGGGAGTCCAGGAAGTGCTGGTTTTGGGAGATTCAGATCTTTTAATACACCAGATTCAGGGAGAATGGGAGACTCGAGATTTGAAGCTCATACTATACCGACAATGTCTGCAGGATCTTTGTCAGCGGTTCAGATCAGTGGAGTTCAGGCATATCCTTAGGATCCATAATGAGGTTGCTGATGCCTTGGCTACTCTGGCATCAATGTTACATCATCCAAATAAGGCTTATATTGACCCTTTGCATATTCAGGTCCGTGATCAGCATGCGTACTGTAACATGGTGGAAGAAGAACTCGATGGTGAGCCGTGGTTCCATGATATCAGGGAATATGTCAAGATGGGGGTATATCCGGTACAAGCCACAGGTGATCAAAAGAGAACAATTCGACGTTTGGCAAGTGGATTTTTCTTAAGTGGAGGAGTTTTGTACAAAAGAACTCCAGATCTTGGATTGTTGAGATGCATAGATGCTAAGCAAGCCACGACTATCATGACCGAAGTACACTCGGGAGTTTGTGGGCCCCATATGAGTGGGTATGTTTTGGCAAAGAAAATTCCTCGAGCAGGCTATTATTGGCTCACCATGGAGCGAGATTGCATCAGCTTCGTGCGTAAATGTCATCAATGCCAGGTGCACGGGGATTTGATCCACTCTCCCCCGTCTAAATTGCACACAATGTCCGCACCCCCTTTGTTGCTTGGGGTATGGATGTCATCGAACCAATTGAGACAGCAGCATCCAATGGGCGTAGGTTCATTCTTGTGGCCATCGATTATTTCACCAAATGGGTTGAAGCTATGACTTTCAAATCTGTGACCAAGAAAGCAGTGGTTGACTTTGTTCATTCAAACATCATTTGTCGGTTCGGAATTCCAAAGGTAATTATCACGGACAATGGTGCTAATCTTAACATCCATTTGATGAAGGAAGTATGCCAGCAGTTCAAGATTATGCATCGAAATTCCACTCCATATTGACCCAAGGAAAATGGAGCGGTTGAGGCGGCCAACAAGAACATAAAGAAGATACTTCGAAAGATGGTGCAAGGTTCCATGCAATGGCATGAAAAGTTACCTTTTCCTTTACTGGGTTATCGCACTACTGTTCGCACTTCAGTAGGTACAACTCCTTATTTGTTGGTATATGGTACTGAAGCAGTGATACCTACAGAGGTTGAGATTCCATCCCTTTGAATTATTGCTGAAGCAGAGATTGATGATGATGAGTGGGTCAAAACCCGGTTGGAATAATTAAGTCTGATTGATGAGTAAAGAATGGCGGTAGTATGTCACGGCCGGTTGTATCAAAAGAGAATGGCAAGAGCATACAACAAGAAGGTGCGTCCCCGGAAATTTGAAGTGGGTCAGCTAGTGTTGAAATGCATCTTTCCACATCAGGCAAAAGCGAAAGGCAAGTTTGCCCCAAATTGGCAGGGGCTGTTCGTGGTAACGAGAGTGTTGCCCAATGGTGCTTTGTATTTAACAGATATAGAAGGCAAGTGTGTAGATATGGCTGTCAATTCTGATGCAGTCAAAAGATAATATGTATGATTTATTTGGTTTAAATTGTGTTGTTTGTACTTGGCGTGTTTCTGAAGATTGGAATGACGAATGCATTTTATTCTGCTATCTAAACACTTTATCCTTTGCTTCCCCTTTGAGCATTATTTGCTTTCTTTCATACCCAACTTTTGGAATCAGTAGCAAATTTCAGAAACACAGATACAGAAGATAAAGAGAGAGAGAAAATGAAAAAAAAAGAAGAGAGAAAAGAAAAAGAGAATAAAGAGAAAAATGAAAAAAGAAAGAGAAAAAGAAAAAAAGAAAAAAAAAATAGAATAGACAAAAAGAGAAGAAAAAAAAGATAGAAAGAAAAGAAGAAGAAAAGAGAAGAAGAAAGTACAAAGAAAAACAAAGCAACTCATATGTCATGAACACGTTCGACCTGATTCCTTTTAAGGATACGTAGGAAGCCTCACGATTCGGTCCCATCAAAATAAAATTCAGAAGTCCCCAAGCAAAGAAACTAGGGCAGAAGTTGCGGCTTTGTAAAAGATCTGATTCCAAAAGTTGTAATTTTGAACCCATTCAAGTTGTTTTGAGCCTTTATGATATCCTTTCTTTCTAACCCTGTCCAAAAGCCCATATTACGGTCCAAAGAAAGACCTTCCGATCAATCTTCGAGGGATGCCAGGTCAAGCAAGCTAGAGGTATGATTCATATCAGGGAAAACACTCTATTCTACGCAGAGAAAGACAAAAAATGAGAGAGTTTTATTGGTGAAAACCCTCACTGGCACCGTAAGGCGACAGAAAGCTGAGGGAATTTAAAAATGAGAGAGTCTTATTGGTGAAAACCCTCACGGGAACCGTAAGGCGACGGTTAGTTGAGAGATGAACAACAAATGAGAGAGGTTTGCTGGTGAAAACCCTTCACGGCGCCGCAAGCCGAGTATGGTGGTTGACTTTGCAAAGGAATTGGATCATGGGGACCCCAAGCATAAAATATGAGGACTAAAAGGGGATTGACTGAATGGAGTAGGCTGATTAATCCAAAATGCATGTCATGATCATTGATGCCAGCAGCCTCACTCAGATAAGTCCCTTTTTCCTTTTCTTCCTCAAGCAGTCCTTCTGTTTTTTATTTTGCTTCCTTATTCATAATTGTCGAAGTCATTGCATTTCATTTCCTTTTGGGTCTACTTTCTCTAAGGCTTTTGCTAATGTTAGCCTTTCTAAGAAAACAAGAAGGGATTGCAAAGCTTATTACCAGCTTCCAAATTGCACAAAGCGAACTGCGGCCACGACATGCCAGAAATAGCATGATGCACAATGAACATAAGGTGTTAGCCGAGGTTCAAGTAATCAAGTGGTTTCGCGAATTGTGGGGAGAAATACAGAGATTCAAATTGGAAAGACAGAAAGGTTAAAACAGCTGGTTGAAATTAGGGCACTCAGGTCATTCAGGGTTTCGTGGTTAAGGTTCGATCAGAAGGTGAAACAATTCCTTGCCAGTCGGATGCAGTTGAGCAGAACAAAGCATGACAGTGGAAAAGCCACCCTTAGCAAGAAGGCCGCAAACTAACCACCACATTTTTAAACTGACAAGATTTTTCTTTAATTGAAACAGGGGCAGGAGATTTTGTTTGTTCCGGAGAAACCCTCCGTGAAGAAAAGCAGGTGCTAGACAGGCTCGGCCGTAAGTTTTCAGTACTCTCCTGGATAACAGGATTTAGTAAGTTTTGAGACCCTCGCAAATGACAAGGTCCAACGAGAGTTTTTCTTTTGGGAAATATAATTCAGCATTTAAGTTTTCACTTTTGAAGATGAGACTTGCTTTGAAATTTTCAGGATAAGAGAATTTAGCTTAGAACTTATTTTGATAACAAGAGCCAGTAAACACTCACCGATGTTCCCAATATCAAACTGGGGCAGAAAAATTTCATTTGTTTTGTCTATTTTGTTGTAATCAGGCGGCCACCTGGAGAACAAGGGAAGACAGTTCAAAGGAGAAGCAGTCTCAAGAGAAAGCAGTTCAGGTTCAAGCAATCAGGCGCCCACCTGGAGAACAAGGGAATACAGTTCAAAGGTAAAGCAGCTTCAAGAGGAGGACAGTGCAAGCTCAGCAATCAGGCGCCCACCTGGAGAATAAGGGAAGATAGTTCAAAGGAAAAGCAGTTTCAAGGGAAAGCAGTTTCAGAGGAAAGCAATTCGAGTTTCAGCAATCAGGCGCCCACCTGGAGAACAAGGGAAGACAACACAAGTTTCAAGGGGATAGCAGTTTTAAAGGAAAGCAGTTTGAGTATCGGCAGTCAAGCGCCCACCTGGAGAACAAGGGAAAGTAGCTCAAGTTGCAAGGGAAAGCAGTTCGAAGTTCAAGCAATCGGGCGCCCACCTGGAGAACAAGGGAAACCAGTTCAAGAACAGAGGAAAACAGCTCAAGATTCAAGAGAAAAAAATTCAAGTTTTGGCAATCAGGCGCCCACCTAGAGAACAATGGAAGACAACACAAGGTTCCAGGGAAAGGAAAGCAGTTCAGGTTCAAGCAATCAGGCGCCCACCTGGAGAACAAGGGAAGACAGTTCAAAGGAAAAGCGGTCACAAGGGAATGCAGTCCAAGTTTTGGAAATCAAGCACCCACCTAGAGAACAAGGGAATACAGTTCAAGTTTCGGCAATCAGGCGCCCACCTGGAGAACAAGGGAATACAGTTTAAGTCTCGGCAATCAGGCGCCCACCTGGAGAACAATGGAATAAAGTTCGAGTTTTGGCAATCAGGTGCCCACCTGGAGAACAAGGGAATAAAGTTCGAGTTTCGGTAATCAGGCGCCCACCTGGAGAACAAGGGAATACAGTTCGAGTTTTGGAAATCAGGCGCCCACCTGGAGAACAAGGGAATAAAGTTGAAGTTTTGGCAATAAGGCGCCCACCTGGAAAACAAGGGAATACAGTTCAAGTTTTGGCAATCAGGCGCCCACCTGGAGAACAAGGGAATAAAGTTCAAGTTTCGGCAATCAGGCGCCCACCTGGAGAACAAGGGAATACAGTTCAAGTTTTGGCAATCAGGCGCCCACCTGGAGAACAAGGGAATACAGTTCAAGTTTCGGCAATCAGGCGCCCACCTGGAGAACAAGGGAAAACAGTTCGAGTTTCAAGGGAAAGCAGTTTCAAAGGAAGACAGTTCAAGTTTTGGCAATCAGGCGCCCACCTGGAAAATAAAGGAAGTCATTTCAGAATTCAATTCAAGTTAGAAGTAGCAGAAGCTCGCGGCAAGAAGGCAAGTCAACAGTCCGAGATGATCAATAGAAGTAATCTTAGTCCAGAATAAAAAAAGGAAAAACAAAAAAAAGGGAAGTGAATCCAAAATGCAGAAGCTGAGACAAGAGGTGGATTGCTCAAGACATGACTGAAGTCACAACCATGGTGTGTTCGGTTTTGATCCGAAAAGCTGAAGAAGAATGAACTAGCACCTGCAGCTACCAAGCATCAAGGTTCAAATCTAAAGTCTGCATGAAGAACCATCCAAGACTCAAGATCAAGCTTCAGAAGACTTATAGATAGGAATCTTGTAACTCATAGTTGACAGGCTTAGTTAGCCTTTTTCATTTTTGATTTTGATGTAATAACAGGACCGCGGATCGGAACCTCGACAGAACGGCACCTCGACCGGCTCTCCACCTTGGTAAACTCCGTCACTCTTCCCACTTCTGAACTACACGTGGCCTGATTCCTTTATAGCCAAGGATATGTAGGCAGCTCAGATACCAGGGCTCGGTCACATTCTCCCTCCTCTTAGTTTTTGGTCTCCNACTATGTATTTTGCCCTATATGAGTTACTCCTATAAAATTCAAGAAAATAGATTTTTTTTAGTTATTTTCCATTTTATTGAATTTTGTAGGATTTTTCGTTAAATGGTTTGCATTTATGTGCATGCTTACTTTTTATAAAATCATAAAAAATCCAAATATACCATGCATTGCATTTAGGTTTTGTTTTAATATTTTTAGGATTAATTAGTTAATTAATTATTTTATTAGGATAAAAATCACAAAAATTGGTTCATTTTTTAGCTTTTTAACTTTAGATTAGTAAGTTTCTCTTTTAATCTAGGAGCAACAAATTTTTGTAAATATTATAGTTAGATAATTAGCTTAATTTTACAATTTTAAATTAATCTAGGAAATTAATTTGGGTTTTTAATTAATTTAAAAAAGAAAAGGAATAAAAGAAAAAGAAAACAAAAGGAAAAGGAAAAGGCAATGAAAAAAAAGAAGCCAGTTTTTAGGCTTGAAATTTGGCCAGGCTAGACCCAAATTTTCGTTCAAACCCAGGCCCACTACTCAAATATGCCCGATCCAGCCCGTTTACACGGTTCA